TTTATTTATTTATTTATTTATTTATTTATTTATTCATTTATTTATTTTCTTTTTATTATTATTTTTTATCTTTTTGGGTGTTGATGACAAGAGGAACTGATGTAATTACTACTTAATACAATAGGATATTGGCTATGTAAGAGTATACATGTGATTGTATGTTATGAAAATGGAAAATAAAAAAGTATATTTTAAAAATAATAATAAATAAAAAATAATAATAAAAAGAAAATAAATAAATGAATAAATAAATAAATAAATAAATAAATAAATAAATAAAATAAAAAAAGTCTAAGTGCTATGGCTAAGGCTATGGCAAGTTGCTCTGCTCCCAAACGGACTTCCTTCATTGTATTCCTTTCCCTCTCTTTCTAACTCCTTGTTCTCATATCTATCATCATTTCTCTTTCGCATCACCCAGGGTCTGTACAATTCCTTCTATTTTCCCCACATTCCTTCTGTTTCACCCCCACCTCCTTTTTCTAGAGAAATATGCACCATTTCACGTAATGCCAGATCAAGATATTTCGCCTAGATATTTGGGAAGTAAATATTTTGAAGAGCAAGAGGCTCCTGTGTTGTTTCAAGCTGTGTCTAAACCCTTTCAGCACCTCAGATGCTGGACGCTTTTCGGATTTATTTTACAAGAATAAATATGTTTCATAACATGTTTTCGTTTTCAGGATCATTATCTTTGTATGTCTCTTTCTTTCTCGCTTTTCGCTTTACATTGTAAGCTTTCAGTGCAGGGATTTATCTTGCTGTTACTTTCGATGTGCCTCGCATGTTGATAAATGCAAAATAAATATAAAACAGGCGTCATTATGCAAAATAAATAAAATCACTGTTTCTTCTTTATATAACATCTCAAAGATTTTCAGATTATAGCCAATGCTTACTGGCTAGCAAGCAAATAATAGTATGTCAGCCGAAGCATGCCATCAAATTGAGAGCTCCGTTGAGAAGCTGGAATACTAACAAAATACTAACCATGCAGAGTACTTACTCTGTGGAAATCTGGGTGGATTATCATTAACATCAGAGAGAGAAATATTGACCGTAGTTGTCCCGGCTAATCCTCCCAGCTGTCCTCCCATGTCTTTGGCTTGGATAATAACTTCATAATATTCTTTTGCTTCTCTGTCCATATTCATTAGTGCCGTCCTAATTAATCCTAGGGAAACCACGGAGAATAACATAGGGGAAAAAAACCCCAACTTATTAAATAATCATATGCCAAATTAACAGGAATTAGCCTTGATTTGAAAATACAGCGGTTATCGACTTATGACCAATTGAGTTCCAAATTTCTGTTATTAAATGAGAAATTTGTTAAGTGAGTTTTGCCCCATTTAATGACCTTTCTTGCTATGGTCGTTGTGTGAATCACTGCCATTGATAAGTCAGTAACTTGGTTGTTAAGGGAATCTGGCCTCCTCATTGACTTTTATTGGGTGAAGGTCGCAAAAGGTGCTCACCTAACCTTGGGACACAGCAATGGTCATAAATATGAACCAGTTGGCAAGAGTGTAAATTTTGATCATGATTCCATGGGGATGATGCATTGGTCGTAACTGTGAAAAACTGCTAAATCATTTTTTTCCAGTGCCATTGTAACTTTGATTGGTCATTAACCAAACTGTTATAATTTGAGGACTACCTGTATTGCCTTTTCAAATAATTATTTCAAAGATTTCCAAGAAATAAATTTATCTTTTATCAACTGGGGACTAATTTTGTAATTTTTGATTACTCAAAGCAATTGGCATGAAGGGTTCTCTCAGCAGACAGTGAATTTTCTTTGATTATAGAAGGAAATCCTGTTTATTTTTGAAGAAGAATTTAATTTTCAACAAGAAATGTAAAAGAAACATTGCAAGCAGGCTTTTCAGTTAGCATCAAGTGGCAATTACTATTTGAAACATTTCATACTTTTTTTTCTTATCTTATGCAACACACATTTGCATTTTGACATAATAATTTAAGACAAATACTTATTTAATTAATTGTAATGCCATTTCTTTTTAAATAAACATTGCATTTCTCATCTGAACCGCCTGCGTATTTGATGCCATTAGAAAGTCAATACACTGTTGTTGGATTCATTTGAGAAATGTTGACTGGATGTTCAGGCTGTTACATAAAAATGCTTCAAAACTTTAATATGATGCTCCTACACTGCTTAGAGAGATGCCAATGCTCCCCCCCCCCCGGAAACTGGTGAACAATTATTTTGTATTGGTGCGCCCAATACTTTAGAGCTTGGTGCGTGAGTGAAGTACAAGAGGGGACATGGTTAGTGACCATTTGGCTTTTGATGATGAACCCCAAGCTGAACACACCATGACAGCTAAGGACGGATGTGACATTTGGGAATGATTTTGGATGAAATTACCTGTTCTGGAGTCCACAGAGAAATATGGCTGTCCTTGGAGAACACTGTAGACTACCCTGGCACTGTTCCCATAAGTAGGATCATCAGCATCTGTTGCTGTCACTTGGATAACAGAGGTGCCTGTTGAAGACAGTGCACAGCCTTGTTAGATTTGGGGAGAAAAGACGCGGAGAGCTAACAAGAACCAATGAATTGCAACCTTTCTCATAGGAAGATTCTCTTTCTGATTCTTAAGAATGTTGCACACGTGAGTTCTTAGCAGTAACGGGAGTGACAGGCATAAATTTATTACTCATCAAGAAGAGATATATAGTGAAACAATAGCAATAGCAATAGCAATAGCAGTTAGACTTATATACCGCTTCATAGGGCTTTCAGCCCTCTCTAAGCGGTTTACAGAGTCAGCATATTGCCCCCACAGTCTGGGTCCTCATTTCACCCACCTCGGAAGGATAGAAGGCTGAGTCAACCTTGAGCCGGTGAGATTAGAACCGCTGAACTGCAGAACTACAGTCAGCTGAAGTGGTCTGCAGTGCTGCATTTAACCACTGCGCCACCTCAGGTCAATATATAAGGTATGCTCTGTTAAATGTGGATCTTAATTTCTTTTGCTTTAAAATGTATATTTAAAGTATACCCATTATTTTATAATTAAACCGGAGGGAACTCTCAGAAATATTTTTACAACCATCTGTATATCTTTCTAATCCTAGAGGCAAAACAGTGTCACAAAACACTGTTGCTTATGGCTCCGTTAGGGCTCCTGTATTGTCAGCTGATGAAAAATCTATCTCAACTAATGCAAAGTGCAATGAAAATGAAAAGGCCACTTTTCCTAATTCTCATTTCCTAATGAGAATATAGATTTCTTATTTCTAGAGATGATTTGAACTTAATGCTATACAATAAGATCTTTTTCTTGAAACAGCTGGTCATCCTGGCACAAAAATTTCAGCAGATCATTCACAAAAACTAGGTTTATTCCACAAAGGCCAGCCTTTATAACTACCATTCTTCTTCCTGGCTTGCGCTCCGAATTGCCTGAAATTACAGTCTAAATTGTACATCAAATTCTTATTCTTTCTTCTGCATGGTTGTGTTGTGTCTAAGGAATCGGACTAGATGCGGACAGACTTGCAAAAGCTCACTGGATCAAAACTACTTCACAGAGTTGTTTGAATTAAGAGCAGGAAATATTATAGGTGATGTCTCAAGCTCTTAAATAAAAGCTGGTATATATGACAAACCAGCAAACCCAATTGTTTTTGTCAAAGCGGTGGTATAGAGCAGTGGTGGGATTCAAATAATTTACCAACCAGTTCTCTGCCCTAATGACGAGCTGGGTAGGTGGGGCTCAGTGGCCATGTGATCATGTGGGTGTGGCCAACTCAACGTCACTCAGGTCGATGGGCGCTTCGCCTTAGCTGTTACAATGGTGATAAGGGTTAACCAGAGAGGCAGTTTCTGTAAGCAGGGCAATAAAGATTAGGCTAGAAACAACACCAGAATGTTTCCTTCCTGCCTTCCTTACAGGATTAGCCCTGTAAAGTGGAAGAAAACAAAAGGAGATTTCTTCCAACAACCGGTTCTCCCAACTGCTTAGAAAGTTACCAACCGGTTCTCCCGAATAGGTGCGAACTGGCCGAATCCCACCACTTGTATAGAGCCAATATTTATCAAGTGTATTTACAGCAAGGTTTAACACATATTATGTTCTTTAAGTTTTCCTTACCCACTGGTGACATTTCAGGAACTGAAGCAACATATGGCCCATCTAGGAATTTGGGTTCATTATCGTTGATATCTTGGATTTTGATGATAAATTCAGATTCTGGTTCCATTGGTCTGCCACTTCGTCTATCCAAGGCTTGGGCCCGTAAAGTATATTGAGATCTTTCTTCTCGATCTAGTCTCTGAATGGCATGGATGTCTCCAGTGGTGTCATCAATAGTAAAAACAATTCCTGCTCCTTCTCCCGAAAGGATATATTTGATGGATCCATCTCCTCTGTCCATATCAGAATGGAGCTACAAAAAGGTAACGAAATAGAATTGGTACACAATACTCACCAGGAGTCATTTAATGAATCTGCTGCAGGAGGTTTGTGATCATATGATACAAAAGGACCAGCAAGTTTAATTATTGTAATTTTGGCAGGAGTTATTATTATGGTTGTTCGCACAGTTAGCCAAATGTTTAGACTAGATATGCATTTTTATTCATTGACCAAATCCTTCTGAAGCTCCCGTGATAGGCAGTTACTGCTGATTTATGGTATTAAAGGTATCTTTGCTGAATGTGAGCTGTTCCAAGTAAAGCTGCCTTTTCCAATTATTATTATCATTATTCCATTATCATCAGCAGCAGCAGCAACAGAATCAGCTTTGTGGCATTTGCTTTAGTTGACAAACTGTTTTGTGTTCCACATTCCACTGATCCTTAATGATGGAAACTGACATGTTGTAAATAATATTTTATAACCGGAGAACTCAATTTACTCAGAAATAAGATGTATATTCAGGTTCCCTGGGTTAATAGGTTAGAAGTAGTAGAGGAGGGAGAAAGAAGAGACATTCCTAGCAAAGATTAAGTATTCAGACTTACGATTACTCTCAGGGTTTGAGAATAGAACTGAGAATAAATTAAAGAATCATTTTCATAGATTTGTCCTGTTATGGAACTGACCGGCAACGTGCAAATAATTTAAACATTCAAAAATCTAAGACACCCAAACCAGCCACTGTTCATGCAGGAAAAAAGTACCAACTCTTCTTGGCTGTGAGATAAATAATAATCTGTGACCGTCCTCACCAAATAAACAATATCAAAAATATACATTACAGATTTTAGTTATTGCATTCCTCTTGTGCCATATTCTCTCCAGACTGTGAAGTTTTTGTATAAACTTTAGACTGCAAGTTTTTTTTTTTAACTAGTAGGAGCCTTCTTATGATGCTGAAAATGTCATGCCCCTTAATGGTAGCCAAAGCCTTATGCCACCTGGCAACCTTCCATCATCCTTTGCAAATATAGTTGCTATGAAGGATCACAATTGCTCTCCGAAAGCCCACTGAAGCTGTCAGGCTGGGCAAGTTTGCGGTAGCATAACTATGAAATGTAACTGAAGGGCTGAGCTATAAATAAAATCTGGCACGATTCTACGGAACAAGATGCGATGGGGGACACTCAGAACAGGGAACACATGAAATGAATGGCTATGACTAATTCCTACCGAGGACAGCGGCATTTAGGAAAAATATTGTAAAAGAGGCAAAATCTGCCCATTACCGTCGTGAATGGATGACTTAACTATCACTAATAGAGATCCCATAGAGAAGGAGCAAAGCCTTCCATTTCCCCTGGAAGTCTAGGGTTATAAAACATACACATATACATACATATATACAAATTTGTTTTCTGAGGTTTTCGCGGGTGTAGGTCTTTGGTTATTCGGGTTTTCTCCCGCGTAAAATTGGAGGTGTCTTGGCGACGTTTCGACGAAGTCTCATTCGTCATCTTCAGGCTTCGTGCTTCCAGGAGCAATGGATATAGGAAGGTGAAAAAGCTTAAATTGTCTTAGCACAATGGGAAGGTAGGGAAATTTCTTAAGGGAAATATTTCAGCAATATGACATGACTCAGAAATACTTTTATCTAATTACGAGTTATCACATCTCTGGAGGTATCTAAATACCATAGAAGAAACTTTGAAGTCTGTTTTAAGGAAATGGCAGGTAAAGGGTAATGTGGAAGCACACCATAGCTTGGAATTGGAAAAATATATAGTTCTTGATCTACAATGGCTTTGATGGTGAAGGAAAAACTAAGCACTGGGGCTAGCAAAAAGCACTAAAAATTTCCATGTTACTGTCCTTTTCCCCATCACTCCAATCATCTAGTGAATCATAAAAATACATACATGAAATAAGTCATTAAAAAAAAAACAAAGCTGCTATGTATGCAGTGCACATATTTGATGCCCAATCTATTGCTTCTTTGCATTGTAATATCCCACTCCTAATCAGTGTTTCCTAGATTAAATCTAAAGTACAAAAATAACAATGTGCCAGTGAATTTATTTCACGGAATATACCGTAGTGAAGCTAAGGAGAAATGATGAAGTTATAATGTGGACATTATTCAAAAAAAAACAACAAGATAAGGTAAATACAATTGTTTGGGACATCTTTATGTACTGGCACACAGCTGCAAGTTGATAATACACGATGCAATGTTAAAGGCAGTTAATGAATTAATACATTGCACAGTAATTAATTAGTTCTGAGTAGACTCTGATAATCTTGGAGGTGAAAATGTAGATCAGCAAAATAAAGTACCATTATCTTTTACGAAAACAAGAACAATTCAATTAATAACATGCCCACCGTTCCTTTGTAAAAATAGTTGAATAAATATAAAATTTTATTTGTGGCTTCATTAAAAGCTTGTGCAGCCATAATTAGCAATAGAAGGCTGAATAGACATTTTGTTTGCCTTCCCAGAGTTCACGTGCATTGATAGGAAAAAAAAAAGTGGAAACACGAGGAGTAAACACTGCTCCTTTTATTGAATTTAGAAGATGTCAAGTAATGCGACTGAATCTCAAGGTCCCCAAAGGAAGACCTATTTGCACATTAATCTTGGCCACAATAACCTCATCCTATACCCTTGGTTGGATTTTACAGTTTCTTGCTTTCACTTGTATATAATTCTAGGGTTGTTTTTTTTACAAAACCATTTGATAAGTATATATATATAAAAAATACAAATGCAGCCACTAAGTAGCTCATGAATAGGCAGCTGAAAACCTTAGGGCAGGAATGATGTTAAAACAGCGCACAATTTTAATTTTTGTTACAAATTATGCACTAAAGCACCGTAATGCTGCCAAATAAACTAATTAAAGCCCCCAACCTCTCCATCCTTCCTGCTTCTCATTAGAGTGAATCTTTTTGGAATAGTTGAGTTGCTCAGCAAATAGTTTATGTATTTAAAATATTTATACAGTCTTATAACAAGCTCTCGGTGGCTCCCAATCAAAATTTAAAACATGCATCTTGTAAGCATCCTGAAAAAAAACCTGAGAACTCCATAAAATACTCTTAAAAGCAAACTCCTTTAAAAAAACAAATTTTGATTACTGTATAAATATTTCTGTGGAATTAGGGGAATGAACAAACAGCACAAGAGCAGTGTAAATGGGACTACAGATTTTTCCCCTTAGAACTACAAGCTTCACAGTGAGATCAATTCTTTCATGTTAATACTCATCAGTTCAACAACTCAGAACATCCTCCTACACACAGTCTTCCTGGTGCTCCCAGAATGGAATCTGCTCAGCTGGCATAGACTTCTAGAAGAGGCCCATGGAAGGTCCTTGCTCTTTGTAAAACAAATGGTGGTTGTGGTAGACCAACTAATATACCTTCTGAAGCAGAGGTGGGTTTCCTACCAGTTCACACCTATTCAGTAGAAACGGTTCATCAAATATACCGAAAGAGGTTCCACCAGTGGACCCAGAAAGCAGGCCACACCTACAGAAGAGGTTCCAAACATTCTTTGAAACCCACCACTGTTCTGAAGCGTAATCTTTTAGCTATCAGAGTTATTTGGTGAACCATCAAAGGTAGTATTAGCTGCTGTTGCTATATTATTTGTGTTGATATCAGGGGTGGGATGCTTTGGGGGAATGCATGTTGTGTTTCTTTTAATTTGTTGTGTCTTATTTTGTTTTAATCCTTTTTAATATTTTTTATTTCTTATTTCTCTAAGCCGCCCCGAGTCCTCCGGGATTGGGCAGCCTATAAATTCAATAAATGGAAATGGAAATGGAAACCTGTAGCTAATGTTATGGCCGGTTCAGAGAACCTCCAAATCCCACCCCTGGCTGGCCATGCCCTTTCTGCCCTGCCCATCCAGGAGTCTCCACGCAGCCTGTTTTGGGTGCAAGTTAAGTGCAGGGCCTGTGCGGAGATTTGGGGAGGGGGAAAATGGGCCTCCTGGAAGTTCTGGAAGGCAGAAACGGAAGGCCTCTGGAGCCCAGGGAAGCCAGTTTTCACCCTCCCGGAGGCACAAGGAAAGTCTCAGGAGCCTGGGGAAGGTGAAAAATGCCTCCCCACCATGGCCACGCCCACACAGCAACTGGGCAGAGAACCCATTGCTGAAATTTTTGCAGCCCACCCGTGGTTGATATTATATATTAAATTGTGGTTCACGGCCCAGAATTTTTATAGTGAGATTTGAACTGCCAAATTACAGGCAGCCTGTAGGGAGCAGAAGTAGCCTGCAGTACTGCACTCTAACTATTGCACCACTGTGGTTCACGTGCATATCTAAGGATAATTTAAACAAGTGTTTTTCAATTTGGCAACTTTAAAATTTATGGACTTCAACTTCCAGAATTCCTAAGTCGGCAAGCATTTCTGGGAGTTGAAGTCCACACATCTTAAAGTTATTGAGTTTGGGAAATATTGATTGAAGCACTGATCCGTATCCCTGGGAAGTTGATTCTGGTTTCTACTCCACCTGTGATGAAGGTAATAGGTGGGGCTTAGACTCAAATCTTAACTGTAAAAATAAGATGGGTGTAAGGGATGGTAAGAAAGCAATCTCAATAATATTGTCAATTGTAGGGGAGAAAAATTGTTATAAATACATATTATTAACAATAGTTATGAGATTATATAATTGTGAATGTATATATGAGAAATACAATTTATTATTAAAAAAAATCCTCCCGACCTTTTTGCTTTACATTTGACAACATTTCAAGCTCTTTCTACACTTACAAAATCATCCTAATCATCCAAAATAAAAAAAATATCAGATTCATATTTTCTTCCAGCTTCGAGCAAAAATCCCAGCAGCGATTTCCAACTCGAAGCCAAATTAGAGACATTCTTTAAGTCAGTTTTGCCATTTTCCACACCACCCACTGGACACACAACTACACAAACGCCCAAGATTGTTAAGAGATAATTGTTTGGACAAACGGGGTAGGATGCAAAACGCCACGTGCCAATACAGAA